GCCCAGCTCCGCCGCCCCCCCCCCGGCCAATCCGTATGCGCCGCTGCCTCCGCCCCGCCCCCATGCGTCCGTGTCCCGGCCACCGACCGAGCAGTCCAATCGGTGCTCACCAATTCTTCCCGTCCCTTGCCTTTCAATCAGTCTTAGAGTGCGATTGGCCCGCACGAAGCAGCGCCTCGACCAATGGAGAGCCGCGGAGGGCGTGAGTGACGGGCCCCAGGGGGAGGGGCCGGGCTTAGATCCCAGTAGGAGAGTGTGGGTCTCCTCTGCGGCGCTGTGCAGATCCGGGCTTGAGGCCCGAATGGAGGCGGAGGCTGTGCCCAGAGGAGGGGATTGTCTGGGTTCGAACCCTGGTCCCGCTCTCAAGAGACAGATGCTGGCCAGGTGCTGTGGCTCACGCCCGTCATCCCAGCACTTTGGGAAGCCAAGGTGAGAGATTGCCTGAGTCCAGGGGTTCGAGGCCAGCCTGGGCAACTTGGTGAGACAGCGTCTCTATAATAAATCAACAAGTTAGGCCAGGCACAGTGGCTCATGTCTGTAATCCTAGCATTTGGGGGGCTGGAGGCAAGAGGATTGCTGGAGTCCAGGGTTGGAGACCAGCCTGGGCAACTTGGCGAGACCTTGTTTCTACAATAAACCATAAAGTTAGCCAGGCGTGGTGGCACGTGCCTGTAGTTCCAGCTACTCGGAGGCTGGGGCGGAAGGATCACCTGAGTCCAGCAGGTGGGGGCTGCAGTGGCCGTGAGCGTGCCACTGCACTCCAGCCTGGGCAACAGAGTGAGACTCTGACTCAGAAAAAGAAAAGACAGATGCTTACAAACACCCAAGCACTTTCCCAGAAAGGGTTCAAGCGATTAAGTGAAGAATTGGACCCCCGCTGTGTTCTCTGTGCAGTTCTCTGTGTTCTCAGTTTCCCCACCTGTACAGCACCTGCCTTCTTCTCTGGTGTTTGTGATATTTTAACTCTGTGCTTTGACATGGGGTTGAGAGAAAGAGAGAGACTTTCCCACCTGTCTTGGAATAAAATCCACACTCCTCCCAGTTCACGGCCTGCCTTCGGGTACTGCTCAGACTCTCTTCCTCAGGGCCTTTGCACATGCTGTTCCCTCGGTCTGGAACCCCAGATCTTCCTCTGGCTGGCTCCGTCCTGTTATTCAAGGCCTTGCTGCCACCCGAGGTCAAAGGGGCCGCTCGATCAAGCCGCTGTCTTATTTTCCTCACACACTAATCCCGATCTGGTCCTGGAGGTGTATCTTGCTTTACGAGAAATGTGTGGATGCACGTGTTTATTTTCAGCATCCTCCAAACACCAAACACACACATGCACACAGGGAAGGGAATCAGGAGGGCAGGGATCCTGTCTGCCTCGTTCGCTGCTAAACCCTCCAGCCCTAGGCCTGGGCCTGGCCCAGAATAGGAGCTCCATCAATCTTCGGGAGTGAATGAGAGGAGACCAGGCAGCAGGCAGAGGCTAGGCCGGGTGGGGCGGGAGGCAGGATGGGAGAGGGCTGGAGGGTGGGAGCAAGGGCCCCCCCTGGAGCTGGGCGGCAGCAGTGGTCTCAGGTGGGGTCTGGACTTGGTTTGTTTCCCCTGGGGCTTCCAGGAAGGGCGTGGACAGGTCAGGGGGCTCCAGAGAGGGAGGGAGAGCCTCCATGCAGGGGCCCCTGGCTAGTCCTGGGCCAGGTGGTCATTGGCGTCATGGGGCGGGGGTCCCCAGCCCTCGGGGATCCCCTGAGCCTCCCAGGCACAAGGCACCTCCCACCTGTCCACCCAGACCAGGTCGGCAGCCATGAGCTCAGCCCCTCCCCCCAGGCAATGCTGGGGAGGGGGTGGGAAGCCACCGAAGTGAGGGGTCTGCCTGGGCTCTGGCTGGCCCCCAGCAGGATAGGACACACCCAGTGGCAGCAGGGGTGTGTTGGCGGTCAGAGGACACCAGGAGGGGTCAGACAGCACTGAGGGGCATCCTGGGGTGAGTGTAATATCTTCAAAGATGTCGAAGGTGGAGGCCTCCAGGGCTGCGAGGCTCAGGCCGGGGCTGGCGTGGGGCACCTCAGTGGGGGCCACGGCGCAGGCCACCCCCAGGAAGGGGGATGGCGGTGGCGGGGGTGGCTTTTGGAGCCGCAGTCTCCGGGGAGGTGCCTCCTGGGACAGGATGGACAGGGCCAGGCGCTGGGTGGCCGCCTCGATCTCGGTGAACCGCCTGCAGACACAGATGTCAGGTAGTGATCACAAAGAACTCCCCCCCCCGCCTGCCAGCCCAGGAGACATTTGTCTCTTTTCCACCTCTCCATTTTTCTTCTAGGCGTTAATCTCCTTGCCCAGAGCTCCATTGTCTTGAGTTTGTCAATTCTACCTCCCCAACCCCACTGGCAGGGAAGCCCCAGACAGCTGTGCAGGTTATGCACTGCATAGACAGCACATTGAGCCCAGCTCTGGGCACGATGTTGACACTGTAGATGTATTTTGACCCCACTCCAACATATAGTAGGAAAAAAAATGCCCTAAGGACGGGATGCCTTTAAAAAAAATATTCACATGTGGCCGGGCCTATAATCCCAGGGCTTTGAGAGGCCAAGACAGGAGGATCACTTGAGACCAAGAGTTCAAGACCAACCTGGGCAACATAGGGAGACCTTATCTCTATAAAAAAATAAAAATAAAAAATTAGCCAGGGCTAGGCATGGTGACTCATGCCTGTAATCCCAGCACTTTGGAAGGACAAACTGGGAGGATCGCTTTAGCTCAGGCGTTCAAGACCAGTCTGGGCGGCAACACAGCAAAGCTTCATCTTTACAAATAATTAAAAAGATCAGTCAGGTGTTGTAGCGTGCAACTGTAGTCCCAACTACTCAGGAGGCTGAGGCGGGAGGATCACCTGAGTCCAGCATTTTGAGGCTGCAGTGAGCTATGAGCTATGATTGCACCACTGCACTCCAACCTGGGCAACAGAGCCAGAATCTCTAAAAAAAAGTTGGTTTTTTTTTTCCATAAAGATGCTCTATGGGCTGGCGGTGGACCCATCGTGTTGGTACCCCGTGGGTTCTACTTTCTGGACTGCTTGGAGTCTGTCCAAGCCCTGGCTGGCATCTCTGGGCCGGGTGGCTGCAGTGGCCATCCGCTGGTCTCCTCTCAGATTCCTCCCCGCAATGACAATGGGGATGGATCTCATGAACTGTGGTGAGCAGAATAGTGTCTTGCTGCCCCCACCACAAGTCCATATATATGGAGTCCTAGCCCCCAGTGCCTCAGAATGTGACTGTCTTTGGATATAGGTCTCTCATGACCCCCGTAATCCCAACACTGTGGGAGGCCAAGGTGGGAGGATTACTTGAGCCCAGCAGTTTGAAACCAGCCTGGGCAACTTGGCGAGACCTCCTCTCTAAAAAAATTAAAAAAAAATCTAGCCAGATGTGGTGGCGCATGCCTGTAGTCCCAGCTACTCAGGAGGCTGAGGTGGAAGGATGACCTGAGCCCAGGAGGTTGAGGCTACGGTGAACTGTGATCACGCCACCGCACTCCAGCCTGGGTGACAGAGTGAGGCCCACACTCAAAAAACCAAAACAAAACAAAAACTAGCATGGTGGCACTTGCCTGTTATCCCATCTACTCAGGATGCTGAGGCAGGAAAGGCAAGGCTGCAGTGAGCAGGGATCCTGCCACTGCCCCCCAGCCTGAGTGACAGTGAGACCCCAACTCTAAATACATAAATAAATAAAAATATAATTTGAAAAGATATCTATCTAAAGCTGGGAGTGGTGGTGCGCCTGTAATCCCAGCTACTCGGGAGGTTGAGGCAGGAGGATCACTCGAGTCAGGAGTTTGAGGCCAGTCTGGGCAACATAATGAGACCCCGTCTCTTTTTTGTTTTTGTTTTTGTTTTGAGTTGGAGTCTCACTCTGTCACCCAGACTGGAGTGCAGTGGCCGCTCCCAGCCACCGCAGCCTCGACC